TCCATCCATCTAAACTTTCACATTTATAAGTATGAAAATTTGTATCATCAAAGCCTTTTCATAAATGAATACTATGGAGTAAACGGTACGATGTCTTGTTCAGTAGCTTTTGAGTTTATCGCTTCCACACAGACGTAGAGAGCGGTTGCTTTGTTAGGATTGTCTAACATAAGTAAGGTTATCTGATTACTACGGGATTGTATTTATAAGTAGTTAATTAAGATAATAATCATATTAAATATAAAAGAATGTAAATGAATTCAGTTAATAAATTAAGCGGTTTCAATTTTTTTCAACTCTACCGTTTAACGTCGAAGCGATATCGAAAGGCAAACATTTGTATATCCAATTTTAACTGCCCGCCTAACCTTTGTGTGAACGTTGTGCAAATTGACCATTTATTTAAAGCCATAAATATACAAGAGTATTTCTGTACTCGTATTTCTAGTATTCATTGTGTGACTGGTGACAAGGTCGTGATGTTCTTTATACAGGATGTTTCGTTATGATTCTAACATGCAAAAGCTGTTGAAGAGTTTAATGGAATTTGTATGTATGATTGTAATATTTACTACTTAATTATCAATTTGCCCTTGTCCCTAGGGAGGGTAGACACAGTATGTAACTACTTCATACTTTCAAATCGCCTTCGTCATATTTTGCCGCAAACGTCTGGATTCATTATCAACAAATAGTCAAACACAAATTACGTCTTTAAAACAATATAAATGTGAACAATAATCGTATCAAACATCAAGGCATACGTATATGCTAGTCCGTCTGCAGAGTTATACTAGCAGTAAAATAAAATGATAACTGCCTACGCGGTATCGCCCACATCACTTCAATTTACTACAGATTGAAGTTAAGTGGGCGATATAGTGAAATGTGAAACCTTTTTCGTTAACAAGAAAATGTGTACGAGTATGATCGTGTGGCAAAAGTTATACGAAACGTTACGAAAATTTTCTCGCAAAATGTGCTGGTCACCAGATCACTAAGTTTATTTACAAGAATAACATGACGCAGTATACATGTTTCGAAAATTCCTACGTGATATACTCGTATTAATAAGTTAAATGCAGTATGTATTCTTGACCTATAAATGATTCAATGATGACGCTGTATTTTAAAATTCCTCGAAAGCAGAAATCTGAACGAATCACCTCTGAGGGCTTATCATGAGTATTCGTGGCATTGTTTTCGTAATGTAATCGAAAAAAATTGTTGTGCAGCGCCACTAACGCGTAAAGTACAACAAACCTCATTCAAATTTTATCGATGATGTTAATAATACGTTCTCGCAACTATTCATGATAGTCACTTGTTTGTTATTATACTCGGATTTTTTTTATTTTACTTCAGGTTTTAACCAGTTTGAGTTATTTTTTAAATGTGTAATAAAGTATATCTGGCAGTCTGAATTTATCAGAAACCATAAAGTAGAAAAAAAAGTTTATTTAATTGCCAAGTCCCACAGCGACGTAATAGAAAAGGTTCCGAGACACTTTAAATAAATACGAGTTAAATGTATTGTAACGTACGGTCTTAATTAAACTGTAAATTGGACGTTTTAATTGTTCTCCAGTTTAAGTATCCATTGAGTTGTGTTTAATTATTTTTTTCGACGCGTGTCTTCTTGTCTCTAATTGACATAACACAGTTTTAATATGATCAATTGTTTGAATTAAACGTTGGTGGTCTATTAAAATTAGAGTTTTCTATAGAGCTCCGGTGGCTTAGGGGTTTCATCACTTGACTTGTAAATCTACAGGTCTTTGGTTCGAATCCCGCTATGTATTAATGTGATTTACGATTTTTCATGTACACGTAATTTACCCGACTTTCTTACGGTGAAGGAAAACATCGTGATGCAACCTGCACATATCGGCGAAGAAATTCAAAGATATGTGTGAAAACAATTAACCCGCACTTGACCAGCGTGGTTGACTACAGCCTTGTCACCTCCTACCCCAGGCCTACTTAGGGTAGGCTCCGAGCTCCTCGGTGAGGACCTGTAGTGAGCACCTGGTGATATTATCTATACTAATATTATAAAGAAGAAAGATTTGCTTTTTTGTATATATTGAAATAACTCAAGACTACTGGGCCGATTTTAAAAATTCTTACACTGTTACAAAGGTAATTTATCTGTGAGTAACATAGGCTACATTTTTTAATTTCACGCAGACGAAGTCGCGAGCAACAGCTAGTTTCATGATGAAAGGTTAAAAATAGTTTTATAATCGTGACGGATATTTCGTTCAATTTAAC